ATGTATGTATGTATATATATATATATATATATATATATATATATATATATATATATATATATATATATATATATATATATATATATATATATATATATATATATATATATATATATATATATATATATATATATATATATATATATATATATATATATATATATATATATATATATATATACATATATATATATATATATATATATATATATATAATCAAGAATAATTCTTAGCCTATAAAATAATCACTGACATGAGTTTCAACAGTAAACTCACGAGAACAATCAGTTCTCGCCGGTAGAGATAGCATAAAATAAAATAAAATAAAATAAAATGGAGATCTACCTCAATCATCTTATAGAGCCTGGCATAAAAAACAATACATTAGAAGATCATAAAGATCGAACTTAAATCAACCATCGTCCTCAGATGAAACATTCTATTTTCCTCCTCTTCCTCTTTCAATCATTAATTATTATTTATGTTCAACCACTTGACAACATGGGTGGTGGGACTACTTAACATTCATCACCTTGCATCTCATACATGGATGACACAGTAACACTCACTTCCCTGTGAGACATCCTTATCCTCTCTGACGCCACCAACAACACTTCGAAATGACCTTTCGAAACATGCAAGAGTCACCAGCTCGATCAACATGTGTTATTGATGATACCAGCTCATCGGTAATGTAATAGCACTACGACTCTCCATTAACAACGGTCTATGTGGAATCTTATCATGGAAGCAAAACAATCAAAGATATCTAAGCTTCCTCATCTTCTTTCTACTGAGATATTAGCCTTTTTTATTTCTTTTCAATCATCTTAATTAACTCTCGTCTCCATTATAGTTGCAAGCTATTTAATTTACCAGAAATTTTTGTGATGCATTACAGCAAACTGAAAGTTTCTTTTACCGAATCAGATTTTTGTTTTAGGTTTCTGACAAGGAAGAATCTATCAAACCCATGTTGAAACAGAAGCGTAACTCATGAAGTAATAGAGCAGCCAACTCCATAGTCACCACCTAATCTTTTGTTTGGTATGTCGCATGAAGCTTGAGTGAGTGCAACATTATTCTTAGTTAGATCCACAATGTTGACTTAATCCGTTGAGATTGTCCATATTGGATATCAAATCATAAGTCGAACTCTGCACCAAAAGGAAATTGTTGGTGTGAACCTGAACATTATGTTGTCAAACTAAACAGCCTAAAGTCAAGCAGTTGTCAGAGTAGGGCCCAATGACAGTGTAATGCAAAGCCAGTATTACATTATTAACAACATGCATTTGAAGTTAGAAGACTACACTCAAAGTAGAGGCTGAGAAACATTATTCACATCGTGATGTTTAGGTCAAAAAGAAACTTCATCTTGACACAAAGCCACACTCAAAAAGTATCCACAAACTAAACCAAAGCTAATAGCTTCTCTCAACTTCTACTCTCATTTCTCTCATGTGATGTTTAGGTCAAAAAGACACTTCATCTAGAAACAAAGCCACACTGAAAAGTATCCACAAACTAAGCCAAAGCTAGTAGCTTTTCTCAACTTCTACTCTCATTTCCCTCATGTGTTCTTATTATGTTTCCTAATAGCAAAACTTTAAGTTCTTTCTATCATTAATTGTAAAGAAAGAAAAGTCTTGTGGAAAGCTTTCATGGAACAACTTGTTTGGATTCTTAGCAGTTGGTTCCCTTGATACAATCTAAAGATCAGAGAGAAGAGAGATGCCTTCACTACAATGTTTAGACTAATCTCCTTGGCAATATTCTTTTATGCGATAACCAGCTCATTCTTGTCTTGTTAGAGAAGAAAACATAAAAGAAGGTGGACTTCATTTGGTTTCAATGGTAATAGGGACTGCACTAAGTAGAATTGTTTTTTAGTAATATAAACAATTAGACCAATTAATTTAATGCAGTTGTTTGATAGGGTTAGGCTTCTAGTTGACAATATTTAGACAAGCATCAAATTGATGTGATTTCCTTTTTATCATGTGAAAGGTTTTCTCTGCTTAGAAATATGGACTTCATATGCTTTGTTCACCATCTAAAACTACACCAACCCCCTTTCACTTGGTTTGCACTTCCTATGGTGATTGGATGACTAGAAAAAAATTCTCATATTGTTCGGTCTTTGTTGCCGTATTCCTTCATCATTCTCACCGTCACTCTTTTATTGTTGTCATTAGTTGATAATTGTTGAATCAATTAGAACATTTTTGACCTTGTGATAGCACACACCAAAAAAAAAAAAAAAAAACTATTCCTGATGCTCTAGCAAAATCTTGATCTTTCTTTCCAATATGATATCAATAGTTCTGTGAGAACACTTGAGCACCACGTTCAGATGGAGAGCAATATCAAGAAATATCTCTCTTCACATTGCGATCTAGATGTCTATTATTACTGCTGTGTTAGTGTACTATGAATATGTCATCTGCTCTTTCTTTTCATGGAGAGAGAGAGGGAGAAGAATTATTCTACTAGTGCAATGGGCATTGAAGTGTTGTCTTTTTGTTTGAAGGTCTTCTTGTTGGCGGAGTCCTCTCTCCGTCGACTCTAATCCGTCCAAAATGACAGTGTTTTGAGACGCGGAGAGAGACTGAAGCTTAATCGGGACCATCATCACATCCAACACGCAAGAACAGGCCGTACGAACAAGCAAAATCCTTTTCAACATCACGAGAAAGTTGCAACATACAAACAAATTTTTATCCTCGTGCAACGCATGCATCCTTCTTTCTACCGAGCTCCTTGCTGCCCTCCTGCAAGTGTGAATTTACTGTTAATTATTTTGTTCGCCAAATTACTGGTGCATTTGATTAGGCTATTGTCGATCTCCACCGCTCCACCTGCTGTGGCTGCTTAGGACAATAGTTCAACTTGCCTCGTTTTGCTCGATTTGTTACGATGTCACAATGTTACTGTTTGCTCGAACTATTTATCCGCTCTGATATCACAATGTTACGATGAGATTGTGCTTCCTCCACTTATAGAGAATAGCTAACTTCTCACTCGTTATTTTTGTTGTCGTATTTTTCTTGAGTAGCTCCAATAATTTAAGAGTGAGTTTACACTTACAATCCACTTATAACTAGATAACAATTCTCGTTCGACTATATTATGTTCGACGTGAGATCCTAATCAGCTACACCTTACCAAGTTACCATTGTAGTCAACATGAAATATTTTTTGATAAAATTAAATATAATTAATTCTTTTTTAAGAAATGATATTAATTTTATTTTTCCTAGATACATCATAATCGGGTATAATCTAATTAGGAGATTCTGATTACATCTCACGTCAATATAATATAGGTCTACTCAACTCAATATAATATATATATTTTTTGCCTTGAGAAAAATGAAGGTGATACCACAAGCTGATTGTTATCCATAATGAGACTTCTTTTAGTGACAAACAAATAGAAGGCTGATTGATTGCAACATGTTGTGCTGCACATGTAACAGAGAGACTAAGAAACAATTGCCATTATCTCTTCTCATTCTCACTTTGAGATTTTTGAGCTTTTTGTTCTTCTCAAGCAAGACAAGCAGGATGAGAAGCAAAGGATGAGACAGGCCTCATTCATTTTACATCAAGTGAATTCAAGGTGGGCTATATGTCTTCATCTGTGCCTATGGGTTGGAGGAAAAGCAATGGACTCGATTGGCCACTGCAGGTCAACCATCCGACTCATTACTTTGACACTCTTCTTTGTTTTCCGCTTCAAGAAGATACACAAGTGTACCCCATCCCCATCCAAAAGAAAGAAAATGAAGTAGCTTAGATCCATGTCAGTCAAACTTGGACCACGTAAGCTGAGCATCCTCAGCTCTTGGCATCTCCTGCGGTGGCTGGTCTACTCTTCTGACCTTATTGCAGACCACTTGGGAGCCATGGAAGACCAGAGCACAGAAAACACACATCACAGCTCAAGTCAAACTCCAGACCCCCTTCTTCAGGCTTTACAGAGCTTAAACAAGTCGCGTTATGCCCGACTCCATCACACGTCTTCTTCCACATGATGAACCTCTATAAGAGTCCGACTTCAAGGTTGGAGAAGACACACCAACCGGTGAGAACGAGATGGAGGTGAGAAAAGGGGCGTGGACTGTGGAAGAAGACCTGTTGCTGATGAACTACATCGCTAGCCATGGCGAGGGCCAATGGAATTCGCTCGCTCGCTGTGCAGGTAGCGGACTCATCCCTTTCATGAGAATCAAAGCAAGACTGTGTTAGGTTCTTTGTCTTCATGATGTTGGTCTTCGTTCCGGATCGAACAGGTCTGAGGAGAACAGGCAAGAGCTGCCGGCTCCGGTGGCTCAATTATCTCCGCCCGGACGTCCGCCGCGGCAACATCACTCCCGAAGAGCAGCTCCTCATCCTCGAGCTCCACTCTCGCTGGGGGAACCGGTGAGCAACGATCTCGACGAAGACCTCTCAACGATGACATCTTCCTCACCATGTTGCCTTGTAGGTGGTCGAAGATAGCGCAGTGCTTGCCGGGGAGGACGGACAACGAGATCAAGAACTACTGGAGAACGAGGGTGGAGAAGCAAGCGAAGCAGCTCCGGTGCGACGTTGACAGCCAGCGGTTCAAGGACATGGTGAGGTACATGTGGATGCCTCGACTTGCCGAGAGGATCCTCGCGTCTTCCGGCGGCAGCTCTGCCCCATTGGCCTGTGAGCGACCGGCAGAGGGAAGCGTTGAGGTCGGTCAGACTTCCGAGACACAGTACGCGTCAGTTTCAGCGACCGGCGGCACCGCCAGCAGCACGCAGGCGTGCGATGTTGTGACAGCTTCAGAGAGCGTACCGAGTCCCGGAGCTTGTGATGGCTTGGGGTCACTGGATTGGGAAGAGAGCTTGTGGAGCATGGTGGAGGTTTGGTCGCAGCAAGAGCTTTAGAAGGAAGGAGAGAAAGGAAGTAATTGTGAAGACAGAAGAGACAGCATGGATTTGGAAGAAGAAGAAGTTATTGATTCATCCAATCATCATCTCAATCTTTCACATATATGTGCTCGATATCCCCTCTAAACATAGTCTCCATACATGCATTAGTCGACTTATTGCGGTGAAATCTCTACCGAAATGCAAACTCTCTACTCATGAGCTTTAACGATCAAGAATAGATGTTGCTTCTGATATAAGTCGATGCAGTAGTCAGTGGAGGACACCAGCGATTCAAAGAAATTACACAAATTGCAATTCAAAGGAAAGCTCTGTTTTCCTTGTCTTATTCAAATGCACTTTCGCATCTATTTCTTCTTCTTTTTTTTCTTTTTTCTTCTCTCTCCTTATCTTTTTATATTCTTTTAATTTCTTATCGGTTACCTTTGCTCTTTTTTTTTTACTTGATGTAACAAAAAAATATATATATTAATAGTTTCTCGTTTTGAAGATTGGAATTATGTTTGTCTTGATGGTGTGATTAGTATGATAAGAAAGCATAATATTCTCTAATTCATAACTCGATCAATCCAACTTGGTAGCAGGCGGTGGTGATCAATCAGAATCGTATATGAAAATAGATGCATATTGTCTCTCTACTCTTCACGTTTGAACTATTAATCGATATCAAAAGCGATGTTACAAGGGAATTAATCTTCTATTATTATACTATTACGAGAATATGAATCACATATTACTATCATAGCATGCATTAAAAGGAGAGATTAAATAACATTTGTTTTTATACACAATGTGTTTGCTCAGTCAATCGAATTTCCCACTAAAACCCAAGATTAATTTAATAAGATGGATTGACAACTCAAAGATATTCGAAAGGAGATAGAATAAGAAATTAACATAAAGCAGAATCATGCGATCTTCTTTCATCAAAAATATTAATAACGAGTCAATCCTAAAGCGAAATCATACATGTCAATCCTTCACTCAACGTGTATAAAGGAAAATCATTCCTTTAGTATACATCATGAATTTCATGTCTTAAATGATGTCATTCAAAGCCACTGACTTTTTTATATGTCGGATTTTCTCGATAACCTTAAGGGAAGTTGCATATGAATGGTTTGCAAAGCTCTACCTAGATCAATTTCCTCCTTTGGGTAGTTGGTTAAGGAGTTTAAAGTTAACTTCATCAGCTATTAGCTCTCAAATAAGTCCACCACCTCTCTTCTAGCCACTAGCAAGAGGAAAAGAAATCCTTGAAGAGTTATATAAGAAGATTTAATGATAAGATCTACTTAGTTATTGATCTAACATTATTTATCCTCATCAACGCATACATTAATGGGCTTCAATACTCATAGTTTTTTTTATAATGTCATTACCTAGTCTTCGATCACATTTTTAAAACTCCTATACAAGGAGAATTGTCATATAGTAGTTGAGTCTGTAATTGCTAGAAAGAGAAAGGTTGAATAAATAAGGGTAAAACAAAAATCCTCAATGATAAATCCCCATAGAAAGGCCACAAAATGATAGATTAAGAAGTGATTGAATCCCTTCGTGACAAGATTTTACTCCACTTAATATCTTTCCCACAAAGATATATATGTAAATCTCAGAGAAATAACTCTTGAGGGCAACATGTCTAATGAAAGCCCCCTAATAAAAAGGAATATGACTAAGTACTATCATTTTTAACAAGATCATGGGTACAACATTGAAGATTGTTGTACCTTAAAAGAGTAAATTGAATAATTAATTCAAAGGAGCCAACCACACAAGTTTTTGCCTAAGGTTCATGAAACATCGATCTTGGTTAGCCATGTGTAACAGTAGTTCCTCTACATGAAAATCCTATTCAAGAGATCCATTGAGCAAGAGATTCTACAATAATGGAGACCAACAAATTATATTTAGGAAAGAGGAGGTAGAGTATCTAAACCTAGAGTATGATGATGCATTAGTAATCTCCCTCAAAATCACTAATACATTGGGAAGAAAAGATCTTGATTAATATTGAAAGCTCGACAAGCATACACTATTATGATGCCTTCCAAAAAATTGATCTAAGATTATAAATACTAAGATTTTGGTAGTTGATATCTCGTATACAACGCCATCATTAGTCATCCCACATTAAATCATATATATGCAATGGTGTCAACCTATTACATAACATTGAATTTTAATAATCAGTTGAGGAATGAGAGAGCTAAGAAGTGATCCTAAAGAGTCAAGATAGTGCTACCTAACAAATGCATCTTAGAGATATGCCTTCAGCAAACCATCACCTTGAGGAGACAAGAGGGCCACTAGAGGAAATTCCTATAGTGCTACCTAACCTTAATTACCTTGCATAAAAAATGAATCTAAAAAATTGATCTCTAACAAATCATCACCCCTGGGTAGGAAAGTCATTAGAAAAAAATCTCTTAGATCATGAATGATCGAACTGTACTATCAATATCGGAGCCACCCTTTCTAAAGAAAAGGAACACGTTAATTTCTTCTATGTCAACTCAGAAGTATTCTCATGGACCCCAAGTGACATGCTTAGAATAAACATGCTCAACATTGACTCAATATTAATTCAAAGCATTAGGTATTTTGTTAGAAGGCTAAAAAATTCATCCCAAATCGATAAATGATAATAAAGGAAGTTAGCGTGTTATTAAATACTAATTTTGTTTGTGAGGTCCACTATCCTAAGTAGCTCTTAAATATAGTCCTCGTTAAAAATAGTAATAAAAAATGGAGAATATATATTGATTATACTAATCTTAACAATTCTTATTCGAATGAAAACTTTCCTCTCGTTCGTATAGACTAGCTGGCTGACCAGTTCCTTATTCGAATGATATCTGGTCATGAATTATTAACATTTATGAATTTTTTTTATACAACCAAATAAAAATAGTATAATAAGATAAAGAACACATTGCCTTCATTAGCGATAGGGGTTTGTACTATTATAAAATAATTTTATTTGAGCTCAAAAATATCAAAACAATCTATCAAAGAATTGTTAATAAGATATTCCAATACTAGATTGGACAGAACATAGAAGTATATATTAATAATATGCTGATGAAGAGCCACATCACAAGCACCCATCTCTTTAACTTGAGAAAATATTTACAACTATTAAAAAAGTATAGATACGATTGATTCTAATGAAGTGTGCCTTTGGTATAAGCTTCAAAAAATTTCTAAGCTTCATGATCCATGGAATAGATACTACTCCCGAGAAAATCCAAGCTATAACTAAAATGAGTCTTCGGCCTCAATAAAAGAGGTCTAATAACTAATAAGTTGGATTGCCACACTCAACCACTTCTTATCTAGTATAGGCGATCAATATTTGTCATTTTTAAGACTTTAAAGTCATTAAAAGATTTTCAACGAATCGAACAATATTAAACAGCATTCCACCAGCTCAAGGCCTATCTAGTGACTCCACCCCAACTCTATAGCTCTTACCCTATAGAGGAGCTATTTCTATACTTGGTGATAACTTTGATAATTGTAAGCTTAGTGTTGATTAAGAGGAGACCAAGTCTAAAGGCCAATATACTAGTCATAGGTGCCCTACAAGCTAATCACGTGAGTGATGGCATGGGAGACTTAACATGTAACCTTTTTATTTATTATTATTATTTGATATTTTATCACTTTATATTGCCTATTGCATGAATATATTGTGATGTCCATAGATCTATGCTATAGGAATCAGATCGTGATGAGATCATGATAATGAGACCGATTTGCCTTTAAACATAGATCCTAAATAATCTCGGTCATAGGTTACTCAAGAGGGACATCAAGATAACCAAACAGACTAGTATATTATATACCCGTCCATATGATGGATGTAGCCGGTCTCATAGTTGCTCGTGTGGGGACGCTAGGGATATAGTGCAGATGCTCATTGGAGAATGAGTTCACTGATTGATCCGCTCACAAAATGCTGGATGGTTGATGATGCCTTATTGTCATACAATGATTCCATCATCCTAGTGGTGTATCTGATCCTTAGACTTGAAACACCAAGGATGTCCTATATGATTACTCAACTCTTTAATACCAAGCTTAAAGGTTTAGAGTTTCCAAATCTAGCATAGTCGGTCATCGGGAGTGGTAGCTAACCTTAGGAGGGCTATTGAGTATCAATAGAGGATCATCCGCTCTTAATGTCATAAGAGGAATATTCCATATGTTCTTGCCCAGACAAATCTCTAGCTAGGGTCATTCGCATTAAGAGAGAAAGAGTTCTCTGGGAGAATTTGATTAGAGTGAAACTCGTATAGAAACTGTATGGACCTGACAGCACTATGTCCGATGTATGGTCTTTGAGATATTAGATGGATGAGGGACTATAAGTGTAAAATAACTGAGTATAGATATGTCCAAAGGATTGGATTTTCTTGTATCATCTGGGGACCGCGACGTAGTGGCATAGTACGTCCGTAGTCGATGAGTCAGTGAATTATTATTGAGATAATAATTCACCGAGCTAGGAGTTTTAGAAGATATGACTCATGGTTAGTTCGATATTGGGCCTAGAGGGTTACACACATATGGTCGGCGTTGCGATGAGTAGAGGTTCATATATGAAATATTCGTTAGAGCCCTATCTTATTGGATATCCAATATGCCCCTGAATTATTGGATCCTATGAATGAGATCCAATAAGAGCTAATAAGAGATTATTAGGTAGAGACCCATTAATCTAAGATGTTTGGGTAGTTAGAGGAAGATCTAATACCAAATATGGTAAGACTCATTATGGTTAGATTGATAGAGGGGCTCTATAAATAGGAGGGAACCAAAGGCCTAAGGCTAGAGATTCTTTTAGGCTCCCTCTGCCTATTCTCCTCTCTCTCTCTCCTCCTTATACTATAGCCCCTATTTCAGGCATGTGGACAATAAGAAGGGGCAGCCTCTTCTTGATTGCGTGGTGCGCACGAGGAAGAGTTTTGAGCAACGATTTGAGGAGCATCTTTGTAGCCCCTACCATATGGATCACCACTAGAGAGGAGGGTAGTTGACCTCTTTCATTCTCTCCCATAGATCTGTAGGTTTTCAGGGACATATGATCTCCCTAGGTAATTCTCTTACGCATAGATTTTTAGTTTCGCATTTTTTTTAGCACCAACTTTTGCACGACGATGAAACCTTCTTTTTTATGAAAATTCTAGGATTTTATTTTCCTATTCTTTCACTACACATGTAATGTTGCCATAGATTTTCTAACAGTAGTATCAGAGCCAGGTTGCTCGTGTAAAAGATTAGCTTTTAAATTGCGTGTGTTATGTTCAATCACATTAAAATTAT